GTGCATCCCATCAGGGCCTATGGATGTGTGGGTGCCCAGTTTGCTTAAATGATCTCTAACCTGATCTTCTTTTCTCCAGGCTTCTTCTCTTACCTCTGCGGTCTGGGATTCCTGAGGGCCTGCCTTAGCCGTAAAGACCAAAGCAAAGGCGGCATTCAGTAAGTCCACTTTCTCTGACATTTATCAGGCCACAAACCCCCCCGCCAAACGTGTTCTTTATATCCACTAAATTTTGGAACAGCTGCTCAGCCTGAGGATGTAGAAGCAACTCATGCTGTCAACCCCCTCGACCCCATCACACCAAGTCCTTTGGGGCAGGAGAGCAGAAGAGGGGCAGAGAAGCCCACAGGTAGCAATGGGCTAAGGACATAGATCGTTGGTTTCCCCCTCGAGGCTTAATGTGTTGTGGTCTAATCCGTCATCGGTGAAGTTACCTGCGTCAGCCCAACAGAGCAGCTTGGAGAAGGGGTCAAACGTCAGGCCGTTGGGCAAGCCGATGTCCTTATTCACCAGGACCCTCCTGTTGGCTCCGTTGACAGTGGAAGTTTCGATTTTGGGTGCTTCACGATTCCAGTCCGTCCAGTAAAGGTTGCTTGGGAAATAATTATATAATGAACAAACAGGCCAGACAACAGTAAGGAGTGGTAGGAGATTATTGGCTTTTTCTTCGTTACTGGTTCTTGTCAGGAGAGAAGCTTGGTTTTCCCCTTAACAGTGCCGGAAATAAATCTTTGTTTGATTTGCAAAAAAAAAAAATCTCTTAAAAGAAAACCAGAATGATGTTAAATGTGTTTACGACCCAAACTGTAGCTCCTAGATGAGGGCGAGTCTTAGGAGTAGCACATTTTGTATCGCAACACCACCCGAGAGGCACAGCTTGTGTTTTCAAACGCCAGGCGTGTTTCAAAGCTTTTAAAAAAAATGTACATCCTGACACTGAAACAGCAGGTTTAGCCAAATCCTGAATTATTAAATAAAAGAGGGGATGGGGAACAGAGCCAGTCCCTCCTACGGGATGTGCAATGTAGGAGAGGGGCTCCCAAGGTCAGGATGGGGCCTTGGCAGCACTGCACGTGCCCGACTCTTGCACCTTGCAAAGCCCTGCGTGCAAATCCCTCCGGAAACGCTGCTGCTCACCCTCGGACGGGGTCCACCGCGATGGCCCGGGGGTTGACAAGCTCCGTGTCAAAGAGCACTCGCCGCTCGGAGCCATCCAGCCGGGCTCTCTCGATCTTATCCAGGCCGCTGTCAGTCCAGAACATGGCTCGGCGCAGGTGGTCCACTGCCAGCCCCTCGGGGCTGATGAGCCCTGCCAGAGGGATGGACACGGTCAACGGCCGGGGACACGCTGGCTCATGGTGCCCCAACCCGCCTGACCCCCAAAACCAAGGGATGTGAGTGAAGATGGAGGACCCCAAAGCAGGACAGCCCCAGAGCTGCGATGGGCAGAGGCTGATGTGGCTTTGGGCCGATGTCACTGGTGGTGGGAGCACACCTGAGTTAATAACGGTCTCCGGCTCAGCACCTGGCTCCAGACTCGCCCGGCTTATGGTCCGGCCGGCTACATCAGTCCAATAGATCGTCTTCTCCCGGCAGTCATAGTCGATCCCCACCACGATGGAGCCCTGACAGGGTTGGGAGAGGGACACAGGGTGAAATCCTGCCTGGGGCACGGCCAGGAGGCTCAACGAGCATCCTTATCCCACCAGCCGGCATTGGGAGCTGCCGGGGGTACTCTGCAAGGTGCAGCAATGGGGAATGACCCTCAAATCCCATTTCCTCAGCAAAACCCAAGGCCGACGGGCTCCTACTGCACTCCCCCAGCAGAGGTTTTTAGGCCAGCTGTTGCAGGCACACACCCACACCCAGATGGGTTTGAAACCCTTTGGCTCAAGGAGAGACTGCTCCAAGAGTGAAGCCAGCCCGAGGAATGACCTTCAGGATGGGAAAAGGGAATACTTGGCAAGGTGGTTCGGTTCCCCGGGGTGCAGGCAGGGTCGTGGCCCAGCTTTCAGCCTTCCTCTCCCTGGGTCTGGCCTGGCTGGAGAAGCACATGGCCACGCTCCAAGAGGAGTCCGAGGAAGGGCAAAAAAGGCAAGTTTGCAGTAGAGACGGGCAACTTGGGGCCCGTGACCGATGGCCACGGGAGCTCAACGAGCACCCGTGCTCCTGCCCTTTGCAGGCAACCCCGGGTCTGCGACCTGCCCCATAGCTGGGGTACGGCTGGAAAAGGAAAGGAGAACACGCCCGTGCCATCTCAACATCAACGCAATGTCCCCACAAACCAACATCAACCTTCCAGAGATGACCCCTCAAACCGCCACAGCTCAGACAAGAGTGGTCCAGAGCGATGCGCCACGCAGAGCCGCAGCATCAGCCTGTCCCTATGTCCCACTGGTGGTCCTGTACCCCCCACCCGACCCCGGCGCAGGAGATACGGTACATGCAGGGAGAGCAGGGTCTTCGCCGACTCCTTCTGCAGCCGGGTGCCGTTGAGCGGGAGGTAACCGATTTGCTGTCCCTGAGCGTAGAGCAGAAAGGTTCCCGTGGCTGGTGGGGACACGTCGGGCCGGGGCGAGGGCCGGACACTGGGCGGTGCGACGCTGGGGAGACCTGGCATATAAATTGGAGGAGGGGGGGACAGGGAGAGAGAGAGATGGCTCGGAGAGCATCGGCCCCTCGGCTCTGCACCTGAGCGGGGTGCAGCACCGGGAGCCCATGCTGTGCTAGGTGGAGGGGTGGTCACCCTCGGGGTGCTGAGTTCTTACATGGTGGGGTGCTGCCGGGCTCCG